CTTTGGTGTCACGGAGAGGATTATAACATAGCACAGAACTCAGAATTGAACCCTAGATGTCAACGCTATTATCTGAAATTTCCCTGACCAGCTTGCCTTGGGTACTGCGGTGATTTTAAAATATGTCTGCAAATTGTTTGATACTTCTCCCTTCAAAAGGTGGAGCCTAACTGCCCTCCCCTTGAATGTGGGCTGGGAGTTAGTGACTCACTTTTAACAAATAGTATGTGGCAGAAGTGAAGATACGTGACTTCTGAGATTAGGTCTTAGAAAGGACAGAGCTTCCACCTGGCACTCTCTCACTCTCTCTTTCAGATCACTCTGGGAGAAGCCAGCTGCCATGTGATGAAGACACTCAAGCATCCCTGGGAAAGTCACATGTGAAAAGGAACTGAGGCCTCCCACCAACAGCCAGCATCAACTTGCCAGCCCTGCAAGTGTGCCATCTTAGAAGTATATCCTTTAATTTAATTTATTTATTTCTTTTTCCCTAAAGCCCCAGTAGATAGTTGTATGTCATAGTTGCACATCCTTCTAGTTGCTGTATGTGGGACGCGGCCTCAGCATGGCCGGAGAAGCGGTGCGTCGGTGCGCTCCCAGGATCCGAACCCGGGCCATCAGCAGTGGAGCGCGCGCACTTAACCGCCAAGCCACGGGGCCGGCCCGAAGTATATCCTTTAGTTCCACTTAAGACTTCAGATGACTATAGCCCTAGCTGACATCTTGATTGCAACCTCATGAGAGACCTGAGCCAAGCTTCTCCCAAATTCCTGACCCATGAAAACCGTGAGAGATAATAACGCTTATTATTGTTTTAGGTTACCAAGTTTTGGGGTAATTTGTCATGCAACTATAGACAAATAATACAGGGACTCTCTCCTAGGATCTTCTCTTCAGTCCGGCCTGCTACCACCTTGCACAGGTCCCTCTTCTTTTGTTTCATCTCTGTTTCTTTTTTGCTTACCAGAGCTCCCCAAACCCAGCCTCTGGAGGGAATGCTCAAAATTCCTGTATTTTAGTATGCAGAGTAATTTAAGCCTTCTTGGTCTAAACCTCTCTCATCTAGGCTAAGCCCAAGGATCCCACTTTCCCTGACCAAATACACCCATTAAGGTCCAAAACCTAGATATTCTGTCTTCCTACCAAGCCAACTGGACCAGGTCCACTCAAATAGCTGCCAGCTTTTAAAACAATTGTTCTTGCCATAATAGAAATATACGTGAGCAAAGTGCTACAAGAGCAGAGAAGAAGAAGTTCCTAAGCTGACTGGGGGAGCTCATAGAGGAGGCGACATTTGAGCTGAGTTTTGAAGGATAAACAGGAGTTCATTTGGCAGGGAAGTGAAAGAAAGTCATTTACGCAGAAGTAACAGCAAGTACAAAGGCTCAGAGGTGAGAAAAGGTGTAATTCTGAGAACTTTAAATATGTCAGGATTGTGGGTGAGAATACCTATTGGGGAGCTTGGAAGATGTTGGGGGCTAGATCATAGCAGGCATTGCAAGCCACATAGACCAGCTAGGAAGCTACAGGTAACAGAATTCCCTGATTCAAGCTACTTAAAAATAAGAACAATAATGAATTTAGTATCTCAAATAATAAGTCCATTGGTAGGGCTGCTCTCATGTTAATTAACTTAGCAGCTAAATGATGTTATTAAGGATTGAGTTACAGATGGTTAAAGATGGCTATAGCAACTCCAGGTATCATATCCTTAAGATTACTTCTGGAGGTAGAAAAGGGGCCTTCTTTTCTCTCTTATTATGTAAACTTTTTATTGACTTATACTCTTTTTAAGACGGAGAAAATCTTTCCCAGAAACGTCTTTCCTCCTGCTCTCATTCCTCCCAACAGCTGACTCCCTTCAGCATCATTGGCTAGAATTGCATCATATGCCCAGGCTCAATATTTGGTGAGGGAATGGGCCACCATGATTGGCTTAGACCAATCACAGTTTACTCCCTGGGGCTGGGGTTGGAGCCTAGCACTCTTTAGCACTGGCCAAGCACAGGAGTATGCTTATTCAAATAAAATGGGGATTCTGTTAACAAGGTGGAAGAGAGATTGTTGACTTTTTGGGTAGGCAGTCAGCAGAATCTGCCACATCATGCCAAGGAATTTGGACTATATCCCACTGGGATGGAGAACCACGGAAGGATTTTAAAACAGGAAGCAGCATGAGTATATTTCACTACATCAGAATGGAAGGGTCCTCAGGAGGGCCATGGGTCTGGAGGCAGGGCCACCAGTTAGAAGCCTTCATAAGAAGATAATGGAGATAATTTTAGGCACTTGAATTAAGAAATCTAGTGACTAATTGGATGGAATGGGAAAAGGAAGTAGAAGGAAGAAATTCCAGAATGACTTGCAGATTTCTGCTTGGGTGAATCACAGGGTACCTCATCAAAGCTGGGATTAGGAACAGAGGAGGTTTGGGTGGATATGGTGAGAGTGAAGAGACAATGAGTTTGGTCTTGGATAAGGAGGTGCCTAAAAGACACATAAAGAGAGATGAGTAAACTTGAAAGGGAGGGTGAAGACCACATTACTTAAACTCCTTTAGAGGTTAGGGCAGGATGGAATGTTGAATGAAGGAGAACTGATGAGGAGAAATAAAGTGATGCAGACTACTGACACCTAGTGTGGGACTGGTTTGGCTAATTATGCTTAGGGCTGGGTAGCATCAAGGACTTTTGAGAAAATTGCAAATTTTGTGTAATTGTGGACAAGCCTTTAAAAAGCAGTTAAAAACCTGTTTTGAAATATGGATCTCTGTAATTTGTTTCAACATGTTGAGTTACAGCAAATGAGATGGAGAAATGATCTCAACCCATTTTTTTGGCCTCCTAACTGGAAACCTCAGAACTCAGCCCTGTGAGCTATTAGTCAGATAAGCATTGCAGACTTTTGTAAAGAATCATGCTTTACAAATATGTGAGGGAAAATGGACTTATTGAAGAAAGTATTGTCCAAACCAGACAGACAAAGAAAGTATAACGAGAAGGTGTTGGGATTAAAATCCAGGGGTTTTTTTTGTTTTATAACAGTAGTTGTGAAATGCAAACTAGATGTTTCAATGCACCTTCAAGTTCTAAGTTAATATAGTTTATAAGCCATATGAATTAAGTGCTATTTAAAACATACATAGGAATTCTATTTCCACTTAAAAACACCCATTTAGTGGAAGACTGGAGTTTGAAATATACATAGGCTTAGAACTGACTGATACATAGAACTGCACAGTTGGCAGGCAACTTCAAGAATTAAAAAAAAAAAAAATTATTCCAAAACATTTGTTGAGTCTACCTTGTTTCAGGCACTGAACTGGACTCTGGAATAATAAAACTACCTGATATTTGTATAATTTTGTGGTTAATCCTAACTTTATGCAACTATTCTACTCAATGTGGTTTCTGAGGGCCCAGATGAAATATAACACTTGAAACAGAGTAGGGATTGGAGGACAGAGAAGAAAACTGAGAACTGAGAATTGAAGGAGAAAGGCAAGTTAGGAAGCCCAAGCAGGTTGGGAGGGTAAAGGAGAGAAAAAACAATAGTCCGGAGAGACTGAATATACAAACTGGACGATGGCCATACCATATATAGTTAGAGCTCTGACCCACAACCTCTGCAGCAATCAGCCCAGAACTCTCATGACCGGTCAATGACTGTCAGCTTCCTTATTTTTTGCCCCTGCCCTTCCAACTCAGGACCAACCAGAGAAAGCCAAACATGCTCCTCCAAACCAATCACATAAGACGCCCTGCTTCTAGTTAGCCAGCCTCCAGCTTCCCCATGCTAATACTCTTAAGTCAGAGCACACATGAAACCTTCCTCCCTCCTTTTTTTTTTTTTTCATTTTAAGCTTTTCCACTCCCCTGACAGCCTCTGAGTCTCTGCCAGACTCATGTGATGGTGGTTGATGTGTTAAAGCAGGTATAAATAGCCTCTTTTTGTCCTCATTTGGGTGGTCTTCATTTATTTCCACAGTCATTCATTCATTTATTTATCATATATTAGTTGTATATCATGTGCCAGGCAGTGCCCAGCATTGATGTGGTAACAGATAGTCCCTGCCCTCAATGATATTCTATCTGTTGGGACAGACAGACACATAAATATAACTGTAATTCAATGTGATAAGTGAAATAATAGGCATATAGAAAGGGGGCATATATCAAGTAAGGTTTTAGGGGAGGTGACCCTTAAGCCTGGTGGTAAGAGATGAGTACGAGTTGGCCCAGCTAAGAGAGGGGAGAGGATATTCAAGGCAGGTGGAGGAGTGGGGGAGGCCGAATGAGCAAAGCCTAAGTGGGCAGAAACCACAGAGGTGCGTTGCTGGAGCACAAGGGAGGTGAGGAGAGCAGAAGATGCTGCATGGGCAGGTCGTGGACGGCGATGTATGTGCCATGTTTGTAAAGACTTGGACCTTATCCTGTCCAAGCGGCTTCCTCCTGGAAATGAGAGAAAGGACTGATGTAAGGAAGAAAAACAACATTAAGGGAACATTACCTTTTTATGTATCACTGTTCAAGTCCAGGAGGGCAGGGACACAGCCGCTCATAATGTCGGGCCTAAAGTAGACATTCAGTGAATGTTGAACGAATGGACATAAGCCCTTCAGTGCAGACGTCATTGTCCTCAATTTATGTTTTTCTCACAGGACGAGACAATGAGGCCGGGGCATCAGTTTGGGAGGCTGTAGGGAAGGTTTGGGAGGCTGCAGGGAAGGTTTGGGTAGGAGAAGCGCCACTCTGGCGGGCAGGGTTGGTGGACACAAAACCTCCAATAAGTTGTGGGCAAGGGATGCACTTCTGCCGCGGACACCCCGAGACCCACCCACCGAGACCGCTCGGTCCTGGAAGCGGCCGCAGAGAAAGCCGCCAGCAGCGAATTCGCGCCGCCGACTGGGCAGCGGGCGCGGCACTCCCAGGGACTACTCAGCACCGCTCACCTGTGCGCCCACAGCGGGCCACCCCAGGCGGAGCCACGGCGCGACGCCCTTCCGGATTGGACGCGCCCGAAATCCCGGGGCGGGGAACAGAGGCCGAACGATCTTGGAGATTGGCCACGGTGGCGGATGGACTTGCGGCCGACGGAGCTGGTTCGCCGGCGGCTCCGGCTGGGTGGAGGGCGGGCCGCTTTCCTTGGTCCCCTGGCAGTCATTGGCTCCCTGCGGTTTCCTTGGGGACGTGGCGCCGCCGGCCATCCAGGCCTTCTTCCGGCTGAGCTAGAGGCCGCGGGGAGCCTCTCTGGACCGAGCGAAGCGGTGGTGCGGGAGCTGGCGGGCCGCCCGACCTGTGAGTGTGAGGTCGGGTGGGCTGCGGTGCCGCGAGGGACGGGGAGGGGAAGCGGGGACCCTTACCTCCGCCACCTGGGGACGGCTGGCTCCTCGAGGACGCCACTGGCCCTCGTGAACCCCCGGCGCCCAGGGAGCCTGGGTAGAGTCCGCTGGGCCCCAGGAATAAGAGCAGACGGATCTGGCGTAGGAGCCCGGTGAGTGGGTGGGCGCCGTGGCCTTCTTGGGGAGATCTAGTCTCGTGGGCACTGCTGGAGGTAAACCTGAAACGCAACCAATTCTTTCCAGGCTGCAGACTTAGGAGATGCCTGGGACAAGGAGGCCACCTTCTCAGGGCAGAAGGAAAAGGAGGTGACAGGCGTTGAAACCACTGAAGGGAACCCATGGCTAGGTAAGGCTGCACACGTTCTCCTTGGGTGGGGGCTCAATGGGGAGTGGCAGGCAGATTGAGGGGCCCTGGGAGGTTGTTACAAGTGAGGTTTGCCCTAGGGCTGCATATGGACTTTGCAGCCTGGTCAGATGGCTGCAAAGAAGATCCAAGTTGCATTCTTTTGAAGGCAGACACAACAATAATTTCCAGCCCATCACCCCAGGGTGATGGAGTAAGTGCTTGCTCGGCTTTGAAAAGTGCTAGATTGTAACGTTCTTTCAAATTTCCTCTTGCGTGAGGCTAGGTGCCCCTTAAGGGAGGTTAAACAAAGATTTTATTTTTTCAATGAACTTTGAAAACAGACTGAGGTCCTTTTGAAACAACATAGAAAGTGAACTTTTACAATTGAATACACTTAGCCATACATTGTAATACTCTGAAGCTTTCAGAAAAGGTTAATGTGGATCTGTGGATCTACATGTACCAAATGGGACAGTTGTCAAGTATAGTAAGTGAGGAAAGATGCAGAACAGTAAGTACGGTGTAAAACCAAAGGAATGGAGACACACACATGGATATATTGCCACATATGATATATTTATGCTGTGTATACATAGAATATCCTTGGAAAAATACACAGAAATTAGGCAGCAGTGGTTGCCTCTGAGACGGAAATGGTGGGGTTAGGGCAAAAGACTCATTTTCCACTATATAGCCTTTTAAACTGTTTGATTTTTTTTTTTTTTTTTTACCATGTGCATATATTACCTATTAACTGTTTTTAAAAATCAGTTGAATAAATTTTCTGACGATCCAGTTTTCTGATAGCATTCTTGGTGGGAATGTTGTACCTGCTCTGATTCTTCAATGTTATGAGGTTGCCCAGGGAGACTGGTGATCTTTTATTAACATGAGATTAATTCTTTGAATTGCATCCCAAAGTGCAGACTGGAAAAAGAGCAGATAAGGCTTTTTGATTTATATAGTAGAAGCACTATGAACCATATAGGTCTCTTTTCTAAAATCTGAGACTTCTGGTGGCATGAATTTTTGCCTTTATTAGGAAGGGCTTTAATATGGTTTAAAAACCATTTTTTAGCACTTAATTTTAGAGACTTTTCTTACTAATGTTTGTCTCATTTCAGGATCAGTTTTTCCTACCTCTGCCCAGCCTCCTGGTACTTCACTGTGCCCACAGTGAGCCCATTTCCCCGTCAGCGGGTGGCATTCCTAGGACTCTTCTTCGTATCCTGTCTCCTTTTACTTATGTTAATCATGGACTTTCGACATTGGGGTGCTTCGTTACCACGAGACAGGCAATACGAAAGGTGAGTCAGCGTTAGATCACTTTGATCAGCTTTGGCATTGAAGTCATAAATATTTTGATAAGCTGTTTAACACACTACTCCCTTTTGGGGAATACTGCACTTTTATTAGTAAAATTGCATGCCACTTATTACGTAAAGAAGATCTTAAGCCCCGTTTTGGCAGTGTTCAGTTTTGATTCAGGAAAGCTGATGCTGCATTTTAACCATGAAAGACATCTTTCTATTTTTTTGTTTTTGTGGGCTGACTTATTGGATGCGTAAGTGTTTAGGATTGTTATGTACTCTTGATGAATTGACCCTTTTATCATTAGTAAATGACTCTGTCCTTGATTATATTCTCTGCTCTGAAATCTAGTAGTCTGGTGTTAATATAGCTACTTCAGTTTCTTTTGATTAGTGTTAGCATGATAGAAGTTTTTCCATCCTTTTAGTTTTAGCTTGTTTGTGTCTTTATGTTTAAAGTGGGCTTCTTGTAGGCAGCATTTAATTGTCTTGCTTTTTATCTAATCTAAGAATGTCTGCCTTTTATTTGGGGTGTTCAGGCCATTTACATTTAATGTGATTATGGACTATGTTTAGGTTTAAATCTGTCTCGCTGTTTGTTTTCTGCTTATCACATCTGTTGTTTGTTTTCCCTCTTTTTCTCCCTTCTTTTGAATTGAGTACATTTTTTATGATTCCATTTTATTTCCTTTGTTGGCTTATTAGATGTAACTCTGTTTTGATTTTTTTAGTGGTTGCTTTAGGGTTTAGAGTTTATAGTACACATCTTTAACTTACCGTAGTCTACCTTCAAGTAATGTTATACCTCTTCACCCAGAGTGTAAGAACCTACAGCAGTATACTTTCCTTCCTCCCTTTCCCGTTGGCCTTTATGCTGTTGTTATCATACATTTTACTTCTTCATATGTTATAAGCTTCACCATATATTATTATTTTTGGTTAGGACATTCAGTTATCTTTTAAAGGTATTTTAAAAATAAGAAAAAAAGGTTTGTATACTTACCATTTCTGGGCCTCTTCATTCCTTTGTGTAGATTCATATTTCCATGTGGTATCATTTTCCTTTTGCCTAAAGGACTTCCTTTACCGTCTCTAGTAGTGTGAATCTGTGGTTGGTGAGTTGTTTCAACTTTTATATGACTGAAAAAGTTTTTATTTTGCTTTCCTTTTAAAAGAAATGTTCATTGAGTATAGAACTCTGAGTTGATTGGTTTTTTCTTTTTTTTTTTTTTAACAGTTTGTTTGTTTGTTTATTTATTTATTTATTTTTTTTTTTGAGGAAGATCAGCTCTGAGCTAACATCCATGCCAATCCTCCTCTTTTTGCTGGGGAAGACCGGTTCTTAGCTAACATCTGTTGCCAATCCTCCTCCTTTTTTTTTTCCCCCCCAAAGACCCAGTAGATAGTTGTATGTCATAGTTGCACATCCTTCTAGTTGCTGTATGTGGGATGCGGCCTCAGCATGGCCGGAGAAGCGGTGCATCGGTGCACGCCCAGGATCCGAACCCAGGCCGCCAGTAGCGGAGCGCACGCACTTAACCGCTAAGCCATGGGGCCGGCCCTGGTTTTTTCTTTCATTGCTTTATTTTTTTTTAATTAATTTATTTTTTTGAGAGGAAGACCGGCCCTGAGCTAACATCTATCGCGAATCCTCCTCTTTTTGCTGAGGAAGACTGCCCGTGGGCTAACATCCATGCCCATCTTCCTCCACTTTATATGGAATGCCACCACAGCATGGCTTGACAAGTGGTGCATCGGTGCACGCCGGGATCCGAACCGGAGAACCTTGGGCCACCGCAGCGGAGCACGCACACTCCACCACTTGCGCCACTGGGCCAGCCCCTTTCATTGTTTTAAAGACGATGCTCCACTGTCTTCTGGCTTGCATTCTTTCTGAGGAGAAGTCTGCTGTGATTTTTATCTTTGTTCTCTCTGTACCTAATGTGCCTTTTCCTCTGGCTGCTTTTAAGATTTTCTCTTTATCACTGGTTTTAAGCAATTTGATTATGATGTGCCTTCGTGTAGTTTTCTTCATGATTCTCATGATTTGTTGATTTTTGGATCTATGGACATATAGTTTTTAATCAAATTTGGAAAAATTTTGACCATTATTTCTTCAAACATTTTTTCTGTCCTCTCCCACTTCTCCTTTGGCATCTCCAATAACATATATCTTGAGCCATGTGAAGTTTTCACACAACTCACTGATGCTCAATTCATTTTTTTTTCACTGTTTTTTACTCTGTGTTTGTCTCTGGATGTTTTATATTGCTGTGCCTTCCAGCTCATTAGTATTTTCTTCTGTAGAGGCTAATCTGTGAATTCTATCCAGTGAGAACTGAATACCTTTTTTCACAGAAAATACATCTGAATTATTTGATATAGTTTTATATGCCTTACCAGTTGTGTAGAAGATCTATATTTCTTTATAACAGTGATTCATTTTGCTATTTTTTTGAGATTATTTTCTGATTAGGCTACAAAATGAAATGACAACATGTTGTGTTAATCATCTTCAACATGATTTTCTCTGTATTGCTTCTCAGATAGTATCAGTTAGGAAGCTTTGGGCTGCAAGTAACAGTCCAACTGACTTACATAATAAGAAAGTTTATTGGCTCACATAGTTAGAAGTCCAGGGGTTGGGGGGCCACAATTTCAACATTAGCTGGCAAGATGGGAGTCTCTGTCTCCATTGTCTACAGTGTCAGCTTACTGAATGGTTGCAGAATAGCAGCCAGTAGCAACCAGGGCTACATGCATCCTCACTCACGTCCTGCAGGAGAGAAACAGATCTTCTATGCTCTCTTATAAGAATGAAAAAGATGCTTCCTGGAAGCTCTTTCCTTGAAAGTTTTTTGGTCAGAATTGGGACACATGCCTACTCCCCCTAATGTTTCTGGGTTGTTCTGTCCCCAGATTTTCTTATTTCCAATTCACTTTGGTCATTCTTTCACTTATTCATTTGACAAGCATTTACTGAGTGGCCACTGTGTGCTGGGTGGTAATAGGCACCAGGACATGGACACTTTGGGTACCTTCTTGTGAAAACACAGTGATTTTGTGTTTTCAAGCTTTCTTCCTCTAGCAGCACTACTCATTTGTATTTTTCACTCTTTTCTGAAGAGGAAACACTTGTTTAGATGACTATAGTTGTCAACAGTTGGCCTTAAGAAGCCTTAACTAAATCTATAATTGGAGAACTAAATCTATAATTTGAGTTTTTAAAATGCTTATTGAGATTTTCTTGACACATCTGAGCAATTTCCTTCTGGAAGACAGCATGGTCTAATTAGGGAATTCTATGTCCCTTAATATGGCTAAGGACTCTTAGGGAGTGAGTGGTCAGCTATATTGCTGGAGAGGTAGATCAGGCTGCATCTGTTAAATCATTGTAGGAGGTTTAGACATTATCTTAAGGGCAGAGGGAAGGTTTTGAAAGGCTCTGAAGAGTGATATGATCAGAATGGCTTTTTAAAGAAAGCTCACTTTAGTGGCATTGCAGAGAATGAATTGGAGGGGAATAAAAATGAAAGCAGGGAGATGAATTGGAATACTCCAACAGAGATGATGGTGGCCTGAACTTGGGTGTCAACAATGACGATGGAGAGAAGTAAATGCATTTGAGGGGTGTGTGGGAGGTAGAGTGATCCCGTAGTTCTTATCTACCACTGTACCCCAAGTGACCAGATCCAATAAATACTTAAGTGGAATTAATTGCAACAAGTTAGCTGCAAAGCTAAGGAACTCACAGACTGTGCCTGTGTGATGACCTTACCGAAGTCCTGACACCCTGTAATGCTCTGGCTGAGGAGCCAGCAGTCATATGGTCTAGAGCTCCTTGTTCTTTAATGAAAGGTTATGTGCATTTTGCCACAAATTACCATATATCATTAAACTTCACGCATGGCAGTCTCCATGGGTTATTTAGGAAGCAAACTTTTGCTGACAGCTTCCTGCGCGCATGACGCTGTGCTAGGCACTAGGGTTCAAAGATGAATAAAACATGGCCCCTGAACTCATGGAGCCATTAGTTAGAGAGGCAGATGTGAAGGAATAATTATTTCCCAATGAGTTAATAGTTTATGTATAACTGTGTAGAGTCAGGAACAAAGAATCAGGTACTGTACACAGTCAAGAATCAGGAACAAAGTGAAGGGACCAGCCCGGTGGTGCAGTGGTTAAGTGTGCGCACTCCGCTTCAGCAGCCCGAGGGTTCACAGGGTCGGATCCCGGGCGTGCACCGATGCACTGCTTGTCAAGCCATGCTGTGGCGGCATCCCATATAAAGTAGAGGAAGAAGGGCATGGATGTTAGCCCAGGGCTAATCTTCCTCAGCAAAAAAGAGGAGGATGGACAACAGATGTTAGCTCAGGGCTTATCTTCCTTCCAAAAAAAAAAACAGGAACAAAGTTAAGAATTAGAAATTAAGGGGCCGGCCCTGTGGCTTAGCGATTAAGTGCACGCACTCTGCTGCTGGCGGCCCGGGTTCAGATCCCAAGCGCGCACCGATGCACCGCTTTTCCGGCCATGCTGAGGCCGCATCTCACATACAGCAACTAGAAGGATGTGCAACTATGACGTACAACTATCTACTGGGGCTTTGGGGAAAAAATAAATAAATAAAAAGTAATTAAAAAAAAAAAGAAAGAAATTAATCAGAAGAGGCCTATGAGTAACCAAATTTGGTATTACTAAGTTCATGTACTAAAAGCTCATGTATGTTACTGATAGGAGAGGCTCTCACATAGAGCCTGTTTGTTTTTATTTTACACACTTTTTTAATTAGCTTGGTTATCTCTTGTCTCAGAACACAGCTGATAACAGCAAATTAGAATGGTGGTAGTGGGGGAGAGTACAGTAGTCATTAGATGTGGGCACACTGATGTCAATAGTCAATAATATACTGGTGTCTTGACAGTGAGGCAGGAGAGAGGAAATTTGTTAAAAGTAGACTCAATAATTCAAAACTTCTACAGACCATTTCTATAATGGTA